CCTGAAGGGTCTGAAAAAAGGAAATTACCCTGACGTTCCAAAAGTATGTTATACTAGATGCAAAAAGACAGTGACAGTCTCAGTTAAGGTAAAGACTGACCTTTGTCAAGGAAGATGCTGGCCTAGGACATGACTACCCACCATGACTCGCTTTTAGTTAGGAAATTTTAATTTCAGACCACCCTGTGTGGTTACTTTAGGTCTCTGAGTTTGTAACACCCACCGTGCGAGCTCCCCTGAGCTTGTCAGGTTTAGTATGTGGCCCATTTTTTGTTCACAACATCAACACACCCACTCATCTGACGCCCAAATAATGTTGTCATGATTGGCGAATCCTTAAAATTCTCAGCACATTATTTCCATAGGTTTTGCCAAAATGCAAGATTCTCTTTCAGGTTTGATTGAATCACTGCCCACAGATATCAGCTAATGGAGTGAAAAGGCCTGCCAGCACCTTTCTCTCTGGAGCTTCTGGAGTTTAATTCTCAGAAGTTAAATGTACTTACAATGCAATATAATAAACTTGTATGGTTTTTATATTAGAACAAATAAGCTTAAGGAAATGCAAAACTGGCCAATAGAATAACCATACATCTTGTTTTGATCTTGACATTTCCGTGTTCACACACCTTCAGACTGTTTCTCTTACTAAAAATGTCTATTTCTTAGTTTGGCTGTGAAGGCACATTACAGTTAGACTCTATAAAACCTTTTAAACCATTTTTCCTACACATCCTATTCACCCACCGAAGTGTACTTTTCTCTTTCCCCAATGACAGCCTTTATTTCTCCATGCTCGTACCATTTCTTTCATCAACATTGTCTTCCCCCATTGAAATCCCAACTATCCTTCAAAGTCCAAAAAGCTTTGATTTAACTATCATCCCTAAATGATATTCATGCAGCCCACAAACATTTTTTAGTTCCTACCAAATGCCAGACACTTCTCTGAATGTTTTCATTTAAGAACTCAAGGATAACTATTGCAACCCTTATTTTAGAGGTGAAGGGATTGAAGCACAGAAAGATTAAGAATCTTGTCCAAGGTTACACAGTATACGATGAAGCTGGATTTATAGCCAAATTGTGTAGCCTTAAGCCTCTACCCCTATATCAAAGATTTTTACTAAATGCGTTATTGAAAATGTTTTTATAAGGCATGTAGTCATAAAGGAGATTATAATTCCCTTTGGAAAGAGTTCAAATTGAGGATTATTTTCCTGACGGGTGTCAACATCAAATCATGGGTATAACAAATATTAAGCTCTGCAAGGAAAGTAGAATTTTATGATCCCTCAGCTCATCAGGGCCCATTTTTTCCTTTTATGGATGAGGGAATAGAGGTGCAGGTAAGTGAGCACAGAGGCTCAGACCAGTTTCGTTGTTTACCTATGACCATGCAGGCCTACTCCTCCTATCTCAGTCATCCCACCCGATGCATTAAAATGACAGTTTTCCAAAATAGGAACTCCCTGATTGATCCTAAATTTCTTCTCTCCTTTCTTTACTCCTGAACTAGGGAAACTGCCCCGTTCCTCCATATTCAATATTGACTGCCTGCCTCTAGGTAGTAAATTATCCTTCTTTCTGAGTTCATGTGTCATAATGGAATGTACAGACAAGTAGGCAAGGATCAACCAGGAGAAACTGTGCTCACCTAACAAAAGTGGGGTGTTCAGTCATGCATAGGCATGTAACAACTACTACAAAAACCCTGCCTGTTTCTATAGATTCCTCTGAGTTAGCAAAATTTCAGGCATTTAAGAAAAAGTCTCTGTCTTCATATCACGTAAGAGCCTACTCTGCATATGCATCAATCCAGCTCTTCTAGAGGACAAAAAATGTAGGGAAATGCTCCAAGGGCCCTAGTGTGAATGAGGCAGGGCAACAACCTGAGGAGAGCTGCTTTTAAAACTTTCAGAAGAGACAACAGAGTAGGTCTAGATAAAGTGAGGTTTGGATTGGTACTCTCCTATGGACAAAAAAAAAAAAAAGGAACTCTATAATACATCTAACCAAAGCAAGCTCACAGGGTGATCTGATGATAAATTCCTAACCGGGCAGGTGAAGGTGGGCACTCACACCTCAGGACTGTAACTTCCCCACTAAAAGATGATCTTTGTCTTAAACAGGCCCTGCCCATTGTTTTTGTACATCTAGGTTAACACACCTTTGAAATGCCACCCTCAAGAGGACATATAATCTTGTTAACTGTCCTGTAATCCAATCATAGAGATTTCCCTGCCTTGCTTGTCCCACATTTATGTAATCTTTCTTAATTCCAAACGTATAAAAGAAACTGCACACTGTCATCTGGGAAGCATTTTTCTCAGTCTGCTGAGACCTTGCTTCCAGCAGTGTTCTCTGTTTGGCTCAAATGAACTCTAATAAACTCTAATAAATTAAATTTTCTACAGGTTTTGACATTATTTCTTTTTAAGATTTTATTTATTTATTTATAGACAGAGGGGAAGAGAGGGAGAGACACATTCACTCAAGAGAGAAACATCGATCAGTTTCTTCTAGTACATGCCCTATCTGGGGATCGAACCAGCAACCTAGGTATGTGTCCTGACCTGGAATCAAGCTAACAACCTTTTGCTTTGCGTGACAATGTCCAACCAACTGAGCCACACTGGTCAGGGCTGGACAGATTTATACTGACATTTCTTTCTTCCTTAGTGCTCTATTCCTATGCATTTGTGATGCCCCTTGTGTTACATTCCCCCTACATACCTAGTCTTCTCCCTCCTCTGTTCAGTGACACCCCCTTAGAGTGCTTTAGATTATGCTCTGGCTACCAGAGGTACCCCCACCCTGTGGCTCTCCTATTCCCACCTACCATCCAGAAATCCTTAACATCAAAATCGCTTCTTCTTTCCTTGACCAAAATGCCCATCCCCCAAGTAAACTCAAGTTTACTCTTAGGGAATTATGCTATTGAAAATATACTTTAAAATGTGATGTTTCAAAATAGTCAAAGCAGCCAATAGTTCAAAGTCTTTGTTGAAATTAGAAAAGGCACTTCTCATGATGCTTTGTTTCCATCTGTGAGAAAATTGTCTTAACATACCAGTTTTGTTAAGGAAACACATTTCTGACATATGTCTGAAAAGTGTCATAATAAACATACAAATCAGTGATTTCCACAGTATGACTCATGCATGGTCCAGGCAACAGCCCTGTTGATTTAGCCTTCCATTTTTGTCCTTTGACACTCCTGAAAAGTGGTGGAAGGAGACTGAACAAGGAGAAATCAGCAGACTGCTCAATTATTTGTGCGACTTTGGGTACATTTCATACCTCCCTAAGTCCTTTTCCCCATCTTTGAATTTGATATAATAATGCCTACCTCGCAAAGAAGCTGAGGATTAAATGAGACAGTTTATGCAAACGCAATATATGGTAAACTCAATGTAAAGGTTAGGTGAATCCAAATGTTTAAGAATGTCTAAAATTTCAGGCTAACTGGAGAGGATATTCAGGGTCACATTGCTCATTCTATGTCCCCTTTGAGATCAGGCACAGAAGACAGGGAGAGAAAGGGAAGATATGAGCTACAAAAGGAAACACTTGCTTTTCCTCAAAATTTCCTTTCTGTTTGCCTTCATCTTCTCTTTTTTCAACTGAAGGAGGAATTAGTCACTCTCATGCTTAACCCTTTCTTCTTACCTTTTACTACATTCAGTTTTATGTCTGGACCATCCCTTTTTAGTTGTTATTCTACTTTGAAAGGGGCAATTTTCCTTGAGAGAGGAAAATTGTCTTGCCCTAAATGTAAAAATGTCTGAAGTCTGTCATGGTAGTATGTCCCAACCAGAAAATAGAGAATCCCAACTGTCTGAATTCCTCTCAGTTAATAATCAATTATCAACTGAAATTTCTGCTCGGATCTAGTTCACATTTCTCCTATCCCCAACTAACCCCCGAAATGCCTAAATTGCCTTCAATAAACATAAGAGTAGTTAGTTATGTCACCTTCTCACTACCTACCCATATGTCTAAATTACTAGGTAGCACAATGATTATGTTATTAGAAAGGCATGCAATTAATGCTGTGGTGTATCTTGTTTGTTTCTTAAAACACTGAACCCAGTTAAAGTCTTTCCAGTCTTCATAGTTTGTTTTTTATACAGCAGAGGCACCTGCTAACGTTTTTGAAATAAATAATGGAGAAAACTTATTCCTAAAGTTGCTACTGGGATTAACACAGCAATACATTTTTCTTCTCTAGCAGGGAAAAACATATTTGCAGAAAGAAGAAAAAGGAAACAAGGGGGCTGTCATTCAAGGGCCTATGAGATTATGGGGGAAGCAAGCAAATGTGAAAGCACAAAGCATAGTTCCCTATGTAGAGTACAATTAGTTCACATTGAAGTAAAATTAAATGAAATATGCAATAAATTCTAAACAAGCATTCTTTTTAAATAAGCATGCTAGAATTGCAGTGTAAAGGTCATTCTTGATATGCAGTCAGACTACAGAATTTCATTTAAAATGAAGAAGATAATTAATTTATTCTTTGCATGACAAACAGTAGAATATTTCAAAGCTGCACAAAGGATAATCTACTTTGTTTATATATAGTTTATTTTATTGAAAATGTAAATTATATAATGAAGTAAAATAATGGCATGTGAATGTAGTTCTTATATAATTGATATAGTAGGAAATCATATATCATGCATGAACCATCTAGATTCAGAAAAAACATTCAGTTGCTTGACAACTACGCACTAAGTTCTGAGGTTAAAGATATACTTATTCAAATAACTGAAAAACAAAAATAAATTTGTTTCATAAAATCTACAAAATATTAAACACACTCATGATTATCTTTGTGTTTATAAATTTATTATCTCTTGTTCCAAAAACATTTAAAATAAAAATTTTTAAAAACCCATGGTTTAGCTCTTGAGTCAACCCCGTGCACGCAGTTTGTTATGTGTGAGCCAAAAATAGTCCCTGCTCTCTAGCACTTGCATCTCTTCACCTTCAAGATGCCTGAGGAGGTACACCATGGAGAGGAGGAGGTGGAGACTTTTGCTTTCCAGGCAGAAATTGCCCAACTCATGTCTCTCATCATCAATACCTTCTACTCTAACAAGGAAATTTTCCTTCGGGAGTTGATCAGTAATGCTCCTGATGCCTTGGACAAGATACACTGTGAGAGCCTGACCGACCCTTCCCAGTTGGACAGTGGTAAAGAGCTGAAAATTGACATCATCCCCAACCCTCAGGAATGCACTTTGACTCTGGTAGACACAGGCATTGGCATGACCAAAGCTGATCTTGTAAATAATCTGGGAACCATTGCCAAGTCCGGTACAAAAGCATTTATGGAAGCTCTTCAGGCTGGTGCAGACGTCTCCATCATTGGACAGTTTGGTGTTGGCTTTTATTCTGCCTACCTGGTGGCAGAGAAAGTAGTTGTGATCACAAAACACAACGATGATGAGCAGTATGCCTGGGAGTCTTCTGCTGGGGGTTCCTTCACTGTGCAAGCTGACCATGGTGAGCCCATTGGCCGGGGTACCAAAGTGATCCTTCACCTTAAAGAAGACCAGACAGAGTACTTAGAGGAGAGGCGGGTCAAAGAAGTGGTGAAGAAGCACTCACAATTCATAGGTTATCCCATCACCCTTTATTTGGAGAAGGAACAAGAGAAAGAAAACAGTGATGATGAAGCAGAGGAAGAGAAAGGGGAGAAAGAAGACGAAGAGAAAGATGATGAGGAGAAACCCAAGATTGAAGATGTGGGCTCAGATGAGGAGGATGATAGTGCTAAGGATAAGAAAAAGAAAACAAAGAAGATTAAGGAGAAATACATCGATCATGAAAAACTGAACAAGACCAAGCCCATTTGGACCAGGAACCCTGATGACATCACCCAGGAGGAATATGGAGAGTTCTATAAGAGCCTTACCAATGACTGGGAAGACCACTTGGCAGTCAAGCACTTCTCTGTAGAAGGTCAGTTGGAATTCAGGGCATTGCTGTTCATTCCCCGTTGGGCTCCCTTTGACCTCTTTGAGAACAAGAAGAAGAACAATATCAAACTGTATGTCTGCCATGTGTTCATCATGGACAGCTGTGATGAGTTGATACCGGAGTATCTCAACTTCATCCGTGGTATGGTTGACTCTGAGGACCTGCCCCTGAACATCTAGGGTACATATTTATCAGTTTATTATCTTGTATATCTGTGGTATCATCTTCAACCAATTTAGAGAGTCCTGTAATACCTTGTGCTCAAGGGTTCTATGAACTGAGGTCACAAATTAGAGAACTAACAGGGATATGAAATCTTCCCAGTCAGAGCTGGTGCTAACTGTATCATTAGATCATCTTTTTCATACACTGCTGTTCCTTAAAGTCTCTGCCTTGTTTTCCTCATCTGTAAAATAAGGAAAACAGAATGAAACACAACTTATAAATTTGCACTGAGGATTAATGAGTTAGTGGCTATAAAGCACTTGGGCCAGTTCCTGGCACAGAAAATGAGTTAACAAATGTTGAATTAACAAATCATCATCATCATCATCAATCTCATTTTTTCTGTTCTTGCTCCCTATAGTCCATTCTCCACACAGCGTCCAGAAGACTATATAAACGTATAACCTAATTTATGCATCCTTCCATTCAACAAATACTGATTTTTGTGTTAGTTTTTTAATATGCCCGCAAATTCTTGGACACTTCTTTCAGGAAGTGGACCCTAATTTTCCCTTTTTGAGTGTGGGCTGGACTTAATGACTTATTTTTAACAAACAGAATGGAGCAGAAATAATAGTGTGCAACTTCAGACATTAGATCATAAAAGGGTACTGCGGCTTCTGCCTTGATGAGTCACTCTCTCTCTCTCATCACTTTCCAACTCCTAGGTTGATAGCAGCCCAATGGAAAAATGAAGGAACTGAGGCCGGTGGCCAGCAGTCTTAAGGAAAAGCTTGGAAGTAGACCCTCCAGCTTCACTCAAGCTTTCAGATAACTGAAGCCCTGGCCAACATCGAAGCACCTTAAAGACCCTGAGCCACAACCTCCCAGCGTAGCCCCTTCTGAACTCCTCATCCATTAAAACTGTGAGATAATAAAATCTTGTTGTTTTAAGCCACAAAACTTTGGGTAATATGTTCCATAGATAACAAATTAAATCATGCACTGGACAGTGTCCTAGGCACTGGGGATACAATGACACCACACCACAGACAAAATCCATGTCCTCATGTGATATTTACATCCTAGGGAGGCTGACAGAATATAAACAAAAAAAATTATTTTTTAATTCAGGTAGCAATACTCTGAAGAAAAAACAAAGCAAATGGAAGATATAGAGTGTCCCCAGAGATTGAGGAAGAGAAAAGATGGTATGGGTAGAGGTAAAGTATTTTTTTAAAGATTCTATTTATTTATTTTTTAGAGAGAGGGGAAGAAAGAGAGAAAGAGAGGGAGAGAAACCTCAATGATGTGAGAGAGAAATATCAGTTGGTTGCCTCTCACATGTCCCCTAACCAGTCATCGAACCAGTGACCTTTTAGTTCACAGGCCAGTGCTCAACCCACTGAGTAACACCAGCCAGGGTGGGGGTGAAGCATTTTTAGGTAGGTTGTATGAAGAGATGGCTTCAAGCAGAGAACTGAATGATGTGAAAGAGGGAGCCACATCATTATATGGAAAACTAGTGCTTTTTGTTTTTGTTTTTTTTCCAGGCTGATCAAATAAGAAATGTGAAGACCTAAAGGCAGAAGAGAGCTTGACATAACCCAAGAAGAACCAGAAGGCCAATGTAGCCAGGGAGGAGAAATTAGGGAGAGAGCGGTGTAAAGAAAAGCCAGTGAGTAGCGAGGGAGACCATATTGTTTCCCTGCCTGAACCAGCCTAAAGCCAACCACTAAAATGGGAGTAACACCATGCTCCTTCTCATGGGCCACAAGGCCACAAGGCCTGCCTCTCTGACCTCATCCCCTCCTAGGTACCTCTCAATGACAGCATCCATTTACCACCCTCCAAAAATATCCTGTTCATTTGCTTACACATTTATTTTATCTCTTCTTATTAGAGTGTAGCAGTAGACCCATAAAATCCTGCTGAATGAAAGACAGGAGTGTTTTTCTTTAAGACATTGGCAGCAAAATTGCAGCCTCACATTCTCTACTACAAGGGTTTGCAGTAAGTAACTTTGGCACAGAAGAGCAATTGACTCCCACAAGAGGGAGGGCAAATTGGGAGCCATAGGTAACTGGAACTCTGGCACTTTGAGTGGACACACACAGGCTTATGGGAATCCAAAAGTTATTTATTTTTGGCTCTAAGCAGATACATGTTTTTCCTTCTTAGTCCAAAATAAAGACAGACATTCATGTATCTATCAGATTATGATCACAGAATTCTTTTTCTGAAAAGGATAAGTAATCTATTATGTTTTTAAATATCAGCAGAATATACTAAAAGTTATTAAAAACTTCCAGATAGAACAAAATTCAAATCCTGTCATTTGCTTCTTCTGTGACCTTGGGCAAGGTATTTAATCTTGTTAAGCCTCAATTTCTTCATCTGTAACTAAGTAGATAGTAATGTTTATCTCATAGAATTGCAAGAATTCAATTAGATGTCAGGGAGTAAGAAAGTGCTAAAAACAAACAGACAATACCTATATTGAAGAGAGTATGTCAAAGGGACGTAGGAGCCAACTGTAAGAGTTCCCAATGGTCAGATATGAAACACTTTGAGCAACAAAATAATTAGTACTGGACTATAACCCAAAGTATAAAATAAATATCCATGAGTCTATTAAAAAATGTTGAGAACGTAAATAAATGGAAGAGACCAATCTCCCATGCAAAAGAATTTCAAATAATGTAGATACATTTTTGTCAAGGTGGCAGACCATAACTTCCCACTCCTTAAACATGGGTTGCACATAGTGACTTCCTTCCAAAGAGGGCAGTATCAAAAGGTGGGAGGTAGGGGGAGAGTAACTCTACAGTAGAGACACCTAACAAAACATTATCTCAGCCAAGTAAAAGAAGTTAATATCAACAGTGATACATCATGTGATACTATGTAACCTTGATATGATACAATATGATGGAAATGGCACTTTATCTCTGTGGTTTTCCTCCTCAAAATCCCTAAGGCCAGTCTAATCACAAGAAAAATATCAGACAAGCCCCCATAGAGGTGCATCCTACAAAATAATTGACCAGTACTCCTCAAAACTTTCAAGGTCATAAGAGCCTAAGAAAACATGACAAGTAAATGTACTTCGTATCCTAAATGGGATCCTGTAATAGCAAAAGACATTTAGGTAAAAACCAAGGCAATCTGAATAAACTGTAGACTTTTCTTAATAATAATATATTAATATTGGTTCATTACTTGTGACAAATATACTATATTAATGTAGAGTATTAATAATAAGGGAAGTTTGTTATAGAATACATGAGAACTTTCCATAGTATGTTCTAATTTTTCTGTAAATCTAAAATGGTTCTAAAAAATAAAGTCTATTTTAAGCCCTGGCCAGTGTAGCTCAGTCAGCTGGGGTGTCATCCCATAAGCCAAAAGGTCACGGGTTCAGTTCCCAGTCAGGGCCTGTGTGAGAGACAAATGATCAATGTTTCTCTCCCACGTTGATGTTTCTCTCCCTCTCTCTCGCCCTCCTTTTTTAAAATCAATAAGCATGTCCTCAGGTAAGGATAAAAAAGAATTTTAAAAAATTAAAAAAGAAGTCTATTTTGAAAAATTCAATTAGAAAATATATGGAGGAAATTTATGTAAAGTCTTCAGCATGGGGCCTACTCCTGGATATTCTAGTTCACCTAATTTTTGCTATCATTGATAGTAAGGTGATCATGAGTATGTTATGGGCCAGTAAAAAAGAAAACCTACTGCCAATTAAACTACAATGCAATGCCTTAAGAATAGTCCTGTGAGATCTATGAATTGGCCACAGCCACCCACTTATTGTTTTGAAATATATTTTATTGATTTTGAGTAATTGGCCATGTTCTCTGGCTCTCACTTGCACTGCTTGATTTATAATAGGCAATCCCCTTGCACACATCTTGGTAATAAATTGAAACATAACTTCATTATATATGAGTATCTTACTTGCTTCCTTTCATAAAGAATTTGATCATTCTTTTTGCAACAAGAAACAGTGGAGTTTTAGTTATTCCCTGAATGACAAACATCTACTTCACTAAATATTAAATTTATGCCCTGCTGCTCTGTGTCTGTGCCATTCTGTATAAACAATAAATTTTTGTTTCAGAGAAAAATATTAGTGCCATGTTTTCCCAAACATTTTAAACAGCAATTAAAGTCAACACTTAAAATGCCAATGATGAACATAACTGAATTAAAAATGAACTTTGCAATAATATCATAATAACTTTTTATGGTGACAGTCACTAGACATAGTGGTGATCGCATTATAAAGTCTATACATGTAGAATCATAATACTGTATACCTGAAACTATATAGTATTGTATATGACTTATACTTTAATAAAAAACAAACAAACAGCCCTGGCTGATGTAACTCAGTGGACTGAGCATTGGCCTGCAAACCAAAAGGTCATTGGTTTGATTCCCAGTCAGGGCACATGCCTGGGTTGCAGGCCAGGTCCCCAGAAGGGGGCTTGTGAGAGGCAACCACACATTGATGTTTCTCGCCCTCTCTTTCTCTCTCCCTCCCCCTCTCTGAAAATAAATAAAGTAAGTCTTTAAAAAAATAAAAGAATAAAAAATGATTTTAAGCAAAAAAGTTAATTGTATCAGAAACAGTTATAGCTGTCTTCCCATGCATTCTCTTAACTAAGAACAACAACAACAAGCTGATTAACCATTTATCACAGATATTATAAGGGATGTTCCCACATAGAAAAGTTTTTTTAAAAACTTTATTTTTAGACAGAGGGGAAGGGAGGGAGAAAGAGAAGGAGAGAAATAGCAATTGGTTGCCTCCTGTACACGCCTCAACCGGGGCCTAACCTCAACCTGGGCCTAACCTCAACCCAGGCATGAACGCTGCTGACTTTTCACTTTGTGGGAAGACACCCAGTCAACTGAGCCACACTGGTCAGGGCCAGAATAGAATTTTGAGCTAGATCTATACAATTATTTTTAGTACAGTTTCGATATAAATGAAGATAAGCAACTATTA